GAAAGCTCTAAATCCAATGAGCCCCTTCTGAGCATGCCATATCTCTCCGAGATCTCCAGCCAAACCTATCGACACGAAAAGTGCCACCGATGGTCAGGGATTTTGGCTACCAGGGCTGGGCGCAAGCCACATGCGAGTCCTGCATGCTTGTCAAGTGACAATCATGTTCGCTCGACCGCGAATACTAACGATTCAATTCCCTTAGCCACTTAGTTTTATGCTTCTTATATACTCGTATTGTCTATTGTCAATATGCTAACCATGATTTTTGTATAGGAAGATGTTTATCGGTGGACTCAACTGGGAGACGACCGACCGTAAGTACCCTAATGATTCTTGTTGGTTGGAGTACGTTACTGATGCATCGAACAGAATCGCTCCGGGACTACTTTTCGCAATTTGGCGAAGTAACAGAGTGCACGGTGATGCGAGATGGCGCCTCAGGCCGATCTCGTGGATTCGGATTCCTCACCTTCAAGGATCCCAAGACAGTGAACATTGTTATGGTCAAAGAGCATTTCTTGGACGGCAAGATTGTAAGTTCAGCCACGCAGTTTTAAATTCGGATCAATTTCTCATTTCTGTTCCAGATCGACCCGAAGCGAGCCATCCCGCGAGATGAGCAGGAGAAGACCAGCAAGATCTTTGTTGGGGGCGTCAGTCAGGACACCACTGAGCCTGAATTCAAGGACTACTTCGCTCAATTCGGCCGAGTCGTTGACGCCACCCTTATGATGGATAAGGACACCGGACGTCCTCGAGGCTTCGGATTCGTCACTTTTGAGAGCGAAGCTGGCGTTGAGGCATGTCTGAGTACCCATCTGGAGATTCATGGTAAGCCCATTGAAGTAAAGAAGGCTCAGCCTAGAGGCAACATGCGTGAAGAGGAAGAGGCCTCTCGGCGAACCAAGTTCCGAAAGGGCGGCATGGAAGAGCAGACGAGCAACAACCAGAGCCAAATGCCTACACAGATGGGCCAGGGAGGAATGACACCCCAAGTCATGGCGCAGTACATGCAAAGAATGCAGCAAGCTATGGCCATGATGCAGCAACAAATGGCTATGAATCGCGGCATTGGCATGGGTGGCATGAGTCCGGCCATGGTGCAGATGATGCAGATGCAGCAGATGCAGCAACTGCAACAGCAGATGGGCCAAGGAGGCGGAAGCGGTCAAAACTCTCAGAATCCAATGGCAGCTATGGCCGCCATGAACCCAGCTCTCATGCAACAAATGCAGAGCCAGATGATGGGCAATGGGGGTAGCAGCCAAGGTCAGGGCTCGGACGATGGCAACCAGCAAGGAGGTTTTAGCAACTTCAACCAGCCGCAGCAGATGTATAACCAGCGCGGCAGTGGAGGCCGTCGTGGAGGCCGAGGCGGATACAACCAGAACTATGGTGGTAACGTGGGCGGGGGCGGGGGTGGGGATAACCCGACTTCCTGGGAGGGCATGTACGACGATGTTCCCCAGCCCAACTACAACCAAGGTGGTCGTGGAGGATTCCGCGGTAGAGGCGGTGGCCACCAACCCAGCCCGGGTCCGCTTGACCCTACTCATGCGCCGCCCGCAAACGCACCCACGGGTCCCAAGAATGCTGGTCGACCTGGTGCGAACTACCGTGGTGGCGGTCGGGGTGGCAACCGAGGCTTCCACCCTTATGGCCGCTAGCGCCGCTAGACAGGTGTAGGAAGCACTTCAGACCTCTCCATCCTATACCAACGGAAGTGTACTCTATAAACACTGAGAGGGATCCGCCAAGAACAGGCTTTCACGAGACTCATGAGTGGATGGTGTCTCATGAAATACATCGACGTCCGAAACCGACATTAATATCGCCAGTACATAAAAATCCGGCCTTCTTTTCTTACTCGGGGTCTTCCGGACATTCGTAAATGACCTTCTAAATTTGGCCATTTGCCTGTATTCTTCACACCATTCTACTACACAGACACGCAAGTTACTTCACGCATAGCATTTTTCACCGTACTCGCAGAGGGCTTTGTGCACGGAATCGCCGGCCCTTGTTGTTTCTGCGGTGATAGGGAGGGAGGGGAGGGAATGCAAGAAATGCAGACATCTCTTCATCTATGTTGGCTGAAGTGCCAATACTAGGGGGTTTACTGGCCAACTGATATTGCGTGCCTGTACTTTATCCCATGTAAAAAGGGGATGGGCGGATGAACTCATTTGTATTTGTCGGTGGCTCTTTGCGCTGTAATTCTGAAGAAAATAAATGCAATGCTTTTTGCGTTATCAATTGATTTTTATGTGATATGCGTAGTAGAAATGAACTTGTTGTTTCTAGAGTCCAACTAACTCGTGATTGTCCATGTTGCAATCCAGGGGAAGGGGAGTAATGCGCCGCGGCTCGACACTGTCATCAATCCTAACGAATGAAGTCTCCCCTTTCCATGCCCCTATCGCGTAGAGAGGCACCTACCTACCTACGACAAGTGGGATCAGAAACTGTCTAATATACCTTTCAAATGAGAATCAACGTCAAGCAAAATTTCCATGAAAATGCTCGCGTAATGCCAGAACACCCTAGTAAGAGAAGGCTAGATTCATGATAGGATTATAAGGTGCAATTTGCAACCGAGTTACGACCATCATATTAAAAACTGGACAGTGATAAAACTGATCTTAGTGAGAAATATCATCATCTTCTTTCATACCTAGGGTTCCTACTCTAAAGCCACGATGCACGATACGACATGATCGACGACCGTTACGGCCTTAAAAACGTGGGGTTGGGCATTAAGTTACCTTTTCACAGAAATGCCTTACCAGCGAAAGGTCAACCAACGAAGTTCTGACAAGTAAAACAAGGTGTGTTTTGACTATGATTGCCTTTTTCGGATAGAGTATTGGTATAGTATAAGCTGAATGTAGGTAGGTATGAGTTTTAGGCCGAAATCCGTCAGACTCGTCTGCGATACAATACGACGCAGCTATTCCACAAGTCAGCGTTGACAGAGGCGCAATGTTGTATCCTCGTGAGGCTGTGTCGACTGCATTCCTACTGATATATGGGGGGGGAGATATAGTCGGAGGGTGCTCTATGGCCAATAAAGCTCATCGCGTAATGCAGGCTGCAGGCGATCTCAAGTGGGTATAATTCCTGCTGCTCCCCTTCTCATTGATGCGACGCATCTCGGATGGCTCGGTGATTAGACAGACCATCGCGGGCAATGAGGGCACAATGCGACTAGCATGATCTAGTTATTTGAGGATGAGTGGCTATTAGATTTTCCGTTACATACATCGGTAAGCCAATGACCACGATAACCAAGCTTCGTGAACACCACCTAAGCCAAGGCATAGGCAGTTGCCGGTCATTATGTGATGTCTATTCGTCCCTTATATGAGCACGAGGTAAGTCCATGGAGAAGACGATGCGAATATAATAAGTCCTAGGTCTCGCAGAAGCATATCCAAGGCTTCCTCCTGTAGTCCTCATTGAAGCCACCTTAAATATCCCTTATTGTATTCGTTCCTCAATCAAAATGGTCTATTACGCCTACATCAAATACGTAAGCCATCCCACACTTTATAGGCCTTTTCCCAGTGCGCTGCTAACATTCAAATTCAAAGGAGCCCAACGACATCATATATCGTTGGATGATTACGGCTCCTAATGCCGACACCATTGACGAGTGGTGGCGAGCCGTTTCCACTCCTCATAAGAAGGATCAGGGGTATCAACGTCTCACACCCGATTTCTACACCTACTCAAAGGGCCATCCTTGGGACGGTGCTCCAGAGTTCAGCTCGAGGATCTTCTTCACGCTCCTCAGCGATAGGGATGCTCGTATCCAATCTCTATTTCCTCATCAAGAGCGGGCTGACCTTCGAAGTGGTCAGACGTAAGAACCATCCAAAGGACCTAGAGGAAACTAGTACCGGCTGACTGACTGGCACTTTTAATAGTTTCTTCATCCGATCCAAGAGCAAGCCCGATGTGTTCTGGTGGGTAGAGCCCAAGGGTTCAATATTGGCATCAACCAACTACCGCTCCCGCTTTCGTTTCGACATCGAAGGTGAAGAGAGCGGTACCGTTATGGTTGGTAAAGACACTGTCTCTATCCACAATGTTACGGACAGACAAGGTGCGTTCGGAGTGACAGTCGGAAACGACGGGCTCTGCACTACAAGTTCTCACCACAAGCACACATTCCCCTTCGGCGACTTGAAGAGGGCCTTCTTGAGCTATCATTCTGGATATATTGACCAGAAAGCCGGCATCTTTGCGCAGTTTCCAACAGTCTTGGTGGTGGAAAAGGGCAACGGCGAAGAATGGGAGCTTGTCAAGTAGGCAGGGAGAAGTTTTGCAACGAAGATGTACATTTGGTTAAGAGTAGCACTTATTAGCAATAATAGCAACCACATAGGGTACCGACCGGAAGGTTTTTATATACCATTCGTTCACAACCCTTAAGCTGCAAACACAAGATCAAGAGTCGATTTTGCTTCTACGAGACATGTCGACAGCCCATGGAAAAGTATCTTACACGCCTGCAATGCGTAAATCGGATTAAGACGGTGACGAGACGCTACCAAAAGTTGTCGGATATAAGCTGTAGGACAGTAATATGCCTTCGCGAATCGGCATCGCTCCAGGGATTGCTACGGTACGACAGTGACTCCCTTCCTAAACCGATACGAGGGTATTAGGTGTGAAACTATCCATACTTTCAGACCGAGATGAGCAGGTCTCAGCCACTTTGGAGCTTTGGGCAGTAATCGATGACACCATCGCATCAGTCGCTACCCGTGGAGTGTTTCACACTCCCATCGAACTCGGTCATAGCTTTAGGTGAAAACTTGATGTGTCATTCTTGAATTTTAAGGAGTGAATGTGAGAAAAAAAAGTATGTTCGGATGAAGGAAATGTTAAAAATTCAAAGTTCAGATGAACTTCATGTGGGCATCATCGGGACAGCTTAAGTAACCACTCAAAGATGGAAAGAGCAAAAGTAAATAAATGCTGTTAAGCGACTCCCCCGGGAAGGCTCGAACTTCCAACCTCCTGATTAACAGTCAGACGCGCTAGCCAATTGCGCCACAGAGGACTTGATGTCTTTCTTGTTACTAAACTTGGCCTATATCCTAGGTTCTGCCCCACATAATAAGAACCAAACTTTTTTCACCGTCAGCAAATCCCCTAGGGCGACAACATTTTACAACCCAATCCTTGAAATGCATCAAGACATGGAAGGAACCAAATTAGTTATAAGTCCGGAAACATTGTGAACCTATAGTTGCTCTTATCAAGACGAATTTGGATATTTCTACGCTAAGTCTATGATTTAACTCGTTATGCTAGACAGATACATAATATCCCAGACTTCAAGGTAGGATAGTTTACGGCGAAAGAGTCGCCAATAATTCAGTTCGTTCATCATATTCGCATGCATGCACCTGTATAAATGAAACCACCTCGTAACGAATGCACGCATGTCCACAGGTATCGCCCACCCAGCCCAGTAGTCCATCGGGCCAAGTTGTCACATCAATATCTTTGGAATCTCTCGTCTCATCCGCATAAATATGCCATCCATCCCAACCCTAACTACCGCCACACCCGGTGCTGCGGAACCGTCCAAGCAAATGCCCGACATCCGGGACATCCAAGTCTCTCCATCCGCGGCCTTCCTGCTCCCTCTCACCTATATCGATGACAGCACTAACGAGGTCCTTCGTAATCTGCTCAGAAACGACACTGTCGCGCTTGTACTCAGGGTGCTGAGCGACAAAGTGTCGGATCCACTTCGCCGCAGTCCAGAGCTTGCCGCTGGCGCGCATCCGAATAAGATCGAGGTACGCCGAGAGATCGCAGCGGGTCTGCACGTCGACGTTGACGGAGTCGAGGTAGCTCTCGACGATGGGGATAAGGCCGGGGAATCCATGCTCTTCCGCACTGCCGTTAATAATCTCGTCGACCGTCATGAGCGCGTACTCATCCTCCACAGGGCCAAATGGCGTCGGCGGGCGACTAGTCGTAGGAGATCCAGCGCGGGACGTAGCGCTGCTGCGCACCGGCCGATTCGGGAAGGGGTTCTTTCGGAAGTAGAACTTCTTCTCCAGCACCGCGTCGCGCGCGTGCGCCGTCTCCATATTCTCGTCCACCTTGACGATTGGGATATAAAAGTTCAAATCAAAGCTCAAGATGGCGCGTGTGATCAGCACCATGAACACGGCAAACGCCGCGTTCTCAAAGTCCGTGATCTGGATCTCCATCGGTCGGAACTCGACGCGCCAGCCGATGTCGGAGCCTGGCGGCGGCGGCTTGAATCGCATGTGCTGCCAGTTGGTGCTCTGGATGTTCTCGAAGTGGTCCGCCTTGGTCAGGTCCAGTTCCTTGAGGTCCTCGCTGAAGATTACGATGGGGTCCCGGATGAATAGGTGAGCGAAGTGCGTTGCGAGGCGGTCATCCATGCCGCCTTCGAGTAACTCCGTCTTGATGGCCTCGTCGATGACGAGGTTGGGGTCAAAATACTCTGGTCGTAGACGTGCGTCGGTGCTGATGTAAGTTGAATTTGATGCGTAACGAGATTTTGGAATGCGCCATCGGTTGTTTTTCAGGGGCTAGATATTTGTTAGCACTCCAAGGCGCGGGTTAGACTGTTACATGGTGCGCTAACCTTTTCTCCTAATTCTTCAGGGGTTCGGTCATCTACAGCGCGACTGATTTGATTCCATCGCACATCAGTATCAGCTAAGAACCCCTTATAAATCGGTGTCGCCGCTGTCAGGGCCAGCATGATAGGTCCTATTGGACTCAATTGGTCGTACATGCGTCTGCCTTCTGTAATGTTCTTCGCCTGGAACGTGATCTGTAAACAACAACTTCCCATTCCAAATGCCATGGCATCCATATGGATGAAGTTGTCTGGGGCTGCGCCATTCCTTACATCGTCGTCCTCGGGCCAGTTGTGGAGATCGTAGTTGACAGTAGGGTCCTTCCATGGATTTGGTGTGTTCTCGTCGTGGAATACTGGTACATTCACTTGGACCTTTCTCCCACGTCGCCAGCGTATATTCGCTGCTAGTGTTGGGAAGCGGATGTGTGGGTTAGCAATTTCATCTGGTACGAATTGAGACCGAAGCTTCGAGCCAGATGGTGGATAATAGGGGTCTGTGAAAACGCCTGGTACACCCAAGCGAGGGAATGTCGTAAGGGTAATGGGGTACTCTTCAGACTGCATATGTTCTTTCGCGATCTTTCTCCTATAATTCAATTAGCTAAAAGTCAATATGCGCCCTTGGAAAAATGGTACCTGATCTTCATGTCTGGTTCAACACCCAGGAGCTCTTTGAATCCGATGCCCCATGGTTTTCCTGGCGTAGCCTCGAGCATGAACCTGCCAAACTCGGGGTGAAATACAGGTAATGGATTAGATCTTTGCGACTCGAGCTCTTGCAGCGCTGGAACACATCCTCCCTTATCGGACAGTTCCTCATCTGCTGCTAGTGCCGTCAAGATATCGGCCTGTCGAAGCGAAAGAAGAACCTTGGGATCATCTTTTGAATATTTGACGACCAGATACTCTATCTACGCGGTCTGTCAGCAAAATGGCTTACTGAGCGGGGAGATGCGGTGCAGATAGTACCTCATCACCCCACAACATAGCATCTCGCTCCTTATGCTTGGCCTTATTCCATATCTCGAGCAGTTGCTATCAAGGGTCAGCTATGGCGTAAGACAATTACGAGGTAGGCTGCGATAAGGGGATACCTTTATTCCCCATTCTCTAACTTTCTGTGCATGTTGCTGTGCGTCCGGCCAATCAAGAGCCGTACCCAGTGCTCTGAAAACCAGTTAATGATCCCGTATCAACCAAGTCAGGGCTCGGATCTCGGTTGAGGATAGACCTACAATAAACCCATTTTGCTGTTCAGCGGCTCACGGTTATGCAAGCTGATAAGGCGGTGCCTTTTTCGATAAGTTCCGTGGCTCGGATAGGTACGTCGTCGAGTTGCAAGAAATGGCGCCGAGTATTGTCCTGTACTTTCGAGTGCAGCGCTGACGTATGCGCATAGGTATAATATATAGTATATAGATATAAATAGCCAGGAACAGATGCTTCACTACCTGAGTAGTTGCTCAAAACAATATCCTATCTTCACCTTAATTTCAAGTTGAAGTTTGCTCTATCACACATTTGCTGGCCCCGAGATGGTAGCAAACTCTAAGCGCAACGGTAGAACCCTAGCTGCGGCACGAAAAAAAGAACAAACTCGGGTGGCGTTTGACGGCTTAACCGCGACAGCTGGGATTCTTGGAGTCAAATGCGACTCTCTCGTTGGATGAACCACCCCCACGGACTAAGATTCAAGGCGTCGAATCCATGGCCGCGAATTAGAAAATGGACGAGAGCTGGGAGGGTGTAAAGTGTGTCAACTCGGCGTGGAAGCACGCAATTGTCTGGTCATACCACTGGACCGGCTCGGTGCGCTCTTGTCTGCTACGGTAGATCTAGAGCTCTTAGCGACGATCCTTGGTTTCCCGATTTGGAATAAATTTTGTGAGGAACGTGGGGAGAAATGAGAAATGAGAGATATATATTGGAGCGTTCTTCCGACGACGATTCTAGTTTGCACTTATTGAACTTTTTTTTTTCTTCGTCTCCTTCTCCCCTCTTGTATCTCCAACTTTTTTTTTCGTCTACTACTTAGTGGGGTTTCTCTCTAGATCTGATTAATAATAATAAGGTCCAGATGCCGACCGAACCCGCAAATGGCTTAGAAATACAAGTTCATGTTTTAGTAGCATCATGGAGAGTTTCAAAGCAGAGACGACTGATAACGGTGAGATGACTCCGAGCGCGGCCCGTCTCGGTAATGGAGATTGCGGGAATACTAAAGAATGGTATTATCAGCCATCCATGCTGCCATGATCAATACTAAAATGTATAAGTTCCGTACATCTCCGAGTTAAATACATGTAGCTGGAGTCTGTTCCGATCGAGAATTAGGTAAAGATAAATAGGTGGGCAGGTGGGTGAGCGCTTGTCACATGACAGTAATGTACACTTCCTTAGCGTCGGGTACTTGCAGTGACTTGCAGATGTAATGGATCCTAGAAAATACATCTACGAAATATATTCAGTATTAGCATCTCTTCATTGTTGATTAGATTTCTCACTTCAAAATCCAAAATGGATATAGTATTTCACTTGGGCGTATCAAACTCTTCGCATCTTTTCACCCTACATTAATGCTACCTATCTGAGCTACCTCTCAGCGCACAATGATTACCTCGACCCAATCTCGGGATTCATCTCGACGGAATACCCCGATACGCCAGCTGCAAGATGCTGTTTTTGTTACCTAGCAGGATACCAATCATCATGAGGATCAGTTGCCCCTTTCGTCAACCCCAATGCTACGTATGAATGCCTCAGCGGTTCTGGCTCTGGTCCGACTGGGCAATGGACTGACTGCATGCATCGTGAATATGGATGAGGGAGTAGTGAGGCTTCACAAGGTATTCCAAGTCGTCTTTGCTACAAAATGTAGGGATGAGGGAATACCAAATCTCAATTGAACATTAACGATATTATTTCGCTATTCGTGGCAATTAGTATGGCTGATGAGGAATCAATCGAGTCTTCATCCGCCCAAGCCACTCTTTTCAGGCCCAGCCGCTCTCAGAGTCTTACAAACAGTCCTCTGTTGCCATCAGACAACTTCTCGATTTTTACATCTACGACAGCACGAACTTGCAATCAGCCAAGAAAGCAGTTTTCCAAGCCGAAAGGATATCGCCGCGTACGTCATATTAAGAGAAGGCCAAACTCATCCAATAAACCCTTAAATAAGAGACGATTGTTCAAAATGCTCGCCGTCTACGATGCAAGAGAATGGGAGCCATTATTCCAAAATCATCCTCTAGCGACTCGCTGATATGGAAACAAGACAGGAGCGCCTTCTAACTATACTTGAGAGAACGCTTAATATTGAAGAAAGCCATAAATCACAAGTTGGCTCTTATCACTTTCAACCAAGCTTCAGCATGTTCAGCTCTTCATCTTTACAGAGATATATGCAGGTCACCCTCAATCCAGAT